ACATTCAGTTGATGAATAGCGGAAAGGCCTGTTTTAATAACTTCCAACAAGGTACAAAACTAAATAATGGAAAAAGACTCTTTCCCAATATAAAACAAGTTATTAGTCCTTAGTATTATCTTAGCTGCACAGAGATCTTTATCCAATGCAGGCAGGAAGCATTTCTTGTACAGCCTCAAAGCATGGATCCTTCACTTGTTGGCTGGGTGGCAAGATGGCTTGGTCTAGACTGCACACACCTTGCTGGCAAATCTGCTTAGTTTTTATACTGTTTAATTGCATAGCTTCAAAGCATTTTTCCTTGATGGTTGGCTGAGTAGAGTTCAAACAAACAGGGAGGAAAAGGTTGCTCATCATAACACAACTGTTAATTGCCTGGCTCCTGTTCTGGATTTGTCTAGGTGTGAAGATGGTGTTTTTTCTGCAGCCCCTGCAAGTATAAGTCAGTTTACAGGTGATGGGCCTTGAGTGGAAAGACAGGATATTTAGAAGTGTCACCAAACCTGTTTGGGGGTATTTGTATATCAATGGGGCACATTCGCAGTAGCTTGTACAGGTGATGGTCTGTTTACCAAACTCCAGACATTCATTGAATGGTTCAGACATTTTAACACCTTGTACATTGGATGTTTGTTGGGAGAAATGTGAGCAGAGTGTGTTTGTCACATACAGAGCATCATTCTGTATCTTTTACAAGTTTCTCTTGAAATGCATATTTAGTCTTTTAGGTTTTTTCCACTGCTAGGTCAGTTGAAATGTAAATGTAGTTACCATGCCTTCACTGGCTCAGCCTTTTCTTGCTTTCTTAGGGACACACATGTGATGAGCGGGTCAGGTCTCTGCCAACAATTTTAATCACTTTTATTATTTTATAGCATGGGTCTGGTATTGGGTACCGCAAGCACTCCACTGTCTCGACACCTAATGGGTTGCAAGCCATTAGCAGAGTTTCATGGTTTTTATATGTAGCAATGATTAAACCTTGGATGCAGGGTTCCATGCACATACAGGGATCAGTGAGACTGAGAAATCAGTTGTTTTCATTCTCTTATGTAACCACATGGTTTTTAGTAGGTGTGTCTACACATGCTTCTACGGCGCCATTGTTACTGTCCTGTCATTTAGTAGTAGCAGCGCATGGTTATTTTTAGCTACTGTGTCACCATAGGAATGCACTACAGCGAGAGAGCATGATGCCACGGTGATGTAGCTATCATGTCACTGTTTCGGCCTGCAAACACTGCATTGCCATAGCAAGTTGCTATGGCGGTGTAGCATCTCATGTAGACACATCCAGTCACAACCTAACCAAGAAAAAGAGGCAATACCTTTGGGCAAACCTGTTTATGGGATGTGCAGTTGCTAGAAAAGTCTGTACACTGTTTTGGAGAAATATACAGTGTATGTGTTCTTCTACTATAGTATCAGGGTGAGAGGGAGTTGGTAAGTCAAAGTGAAGGTCTGCATGGTCACCAAGGAAATACTTTTCTCCAGGAACTTTCCTTTTTTGTATATACGGGACAATTTCCTACTGCTTACAAGTAACAACTTCCGTGTCCTAAGGACTTTTATAAGCTCCAATGATAAATTCCCTCTGACAGGGATGATCTAGCAATCTCCAGATAGGTTAACTCCCCCAAATATAAGGAATAGTTATAACTTCTCTTTCAGAGAGATGGCAGAATGTTAACTAGGGGCTCCCACAAGCACCTTAAGCTCCCTCCGTGTCATCATTGTTTCAGGGCCTGATCATTCAGGAAAAGAGTAGTCATGTAAATAGTATCATAAAGAACCAATATACATGGATAGTGCTAACTAGCAGTGAGAGAATCTGGTAGTTTTGTATGACATGCTACAGAGCTTTTGATAAGCAGAAACCATTGCTCCCTTAGGAGACAATGTCAGCTGGAAGGAAAAAGCCAAGAATACTTTCCTGTTCTCTCAGGATAGCATAGAAGCAGAGTGCCATTGCACACTCTATACTTATTATCACTGGAGAGGAGACTTCACAATCAGTCACAAATGGAAATGATGAATGATAAACTCTTGACACGTGTAACATACATAGAAATTAAAAGAAATGATCTGCTGATGAAGGTCTTGATTCAGCATGCCCTACACACTCAGAAATCCTATGGAGTGATTTTTGGTAGATGGTAAATGGAGAACTTAATCTATTAGACACAAAAATGAATTCATGAAAAATATTTTCATTCATAGTGAAGTAGATACATAGAACAGGTTATTTCTGACAATGAGATATTTTGCACAAAACAGGTTGACAGATATGTGTACAAATCTTCAATCAAATCCAAAAAGAGATGAATCAATAATTTACATGTGAGGTAGGGAGCACCAGCAGAAGCATAGGTAGAGCTAAGTGACTAATCCTACCTGTGTAGGTTTCTTCTGTAATGAAACCATTTTTATATTAAAAATATATCTGAGGTTGACATTGATAGGTATGAAGAACTGTTCTCATCTAAGATCTTGTATTATCTGCTTTTATAATGTTCCTCCCCGAACCAGATTTTGGTTGGGTTTTTTTTACTTTCATCATAATTTCCATAATAATGTCAAACCCAATCTCAATATACATTTAAACAAATTATGCCTTTTCCTTGTAAAGATAGTTTTAAAAAAAATCAGGTGAGAAGTGTGATTTGACCAGCCTAAAAAGGCTACCTAAACATATGCAATGTGGGTTTCAGCAGAGTTAATGGGTAAGGTTATATGACACCTGTTGCCCAAATATGATTAGTTTTTCTATTTGGTTTTTATCAGTACAGTCTCAGATCCAGTGCTGAGACTACAGGTTAGCAGGTAAAATGTTCACACACATGGAAGTAGCTTATAATCAGATCTGCAAATCAGCTACTGAACACATCACAGAAAGGCAGGAGACAAAAGCAATGCATTAATCATTGCTAAAATTTAACTTTTAATGTACATTCTGGGGACAATAGCGGGGACAATAAAAAGGGTACCACGGGGCCACGCTTCCTCTTTCTCTCACTGCATTACTCAATGTTTGTCCAGCACTCATGTTCATTGACCTGAGACCACTGAGTGCACTTTTCTTGAGCTGTGCTGTGAACAAAATATGAACCATAAGAAGAAGGTTTGTTCATGGAACTTCTGTTCTGTCAGTAAATATGACAGATCTCAATGACTTTTGTGTAGATACAGACAGTTTCAGGCTGATGGGTATTCTGAAAAAAAAAAGCAGGTAGAGTAAAAAAATTGTTTGCTTAAAAATGCTGTGAATTATAAGATTGTTGGATGATTCATTTATCTGAACAACAATGATATCTACATTTTTACCATGTATTTTTTTAAAGAAATACTATACTATTGTTCATCTTATAGCCACTGCTATTGCTGATGTTTCATAGTTTCATAGTTTCTAGGGTTGCAAGGGACCT